AATGAAAATGACCTCAACCTACTTTAGAGGTCACAGAGGTCAACAACATTTTAATGGATTTGTTCTTGAGAACTAAAAGGAATGGATTCATAAGATTTGGCTGGTAGCTTTTTGGAATAGAGCTAACCAATTTGAGAAGGAAAATGACATTGACCTACTTACAAGATCACAGGGAAAAATATGTCAAGCAACTTCTGAAGAAGAATCAAAAAGCATAGAATCTTATAATAATATTTTGCTGGTAATTTCAACAGATGGAGCCAACAAAGTTTGTGAGGGAATGTTTTTAGTGCAATATAATATTTAATGAGAATATTTTGCTATGACTGCTTAAATATTCAGGTGAGCAATACAGGCCCTCTTGGGCCTCTTGTTTGTTACTTTGAATAATATTTCTGTTGATGTTAAAAACAAAATCAACTCTGTATAAATATATCAGGTGACCGTTAAGGCCCATGGGCCTCTTGTTAAAAAATGGTTTTGAGATCTTCCCTGTCTCTCTCGACTATAGTTTCTAAGGAAGTGCCGACTTTTTAGTTTGTCCTTGCTTGGTAAGGAGTATGGGTCTCACTAGGTATAAAAAGCGCATTAACTGTCAAACCGGTTATCATTCTACAACTGACCGCCTTGCAATTCAATGCACCGTGATCGGCAACCGATATTAAAAATCAAACGCGCTCACCTGAAGACTTTGAAACACGGCCAATCTATTTTTTACTTATGGCATATTCTCCAAAATAGTGTATCCAAAATAAAAGGTATATTATTGAAAATGCTTCTATAAATCCCATATATATCATCGGTCTTTCACGTGCATAGAACAACACCAACACACAAAAATTTATTATGAACTGTTCGTCTTCATCGTATATACTCTTTAATAACAAAAACACGTGCAAAACGCGACACTCCTGGGTGTGAAGTCAACAATGTGAAATTTAATAATTGAAACGTTCTCATGGAAATGATTGGAATTAATATTGTTTTAACACAGGAAGTTATAACTAGTTGGATATCTAAAAGGTATAGGCATTAGTGTTCGTCATATATATCCTTCTTTCAGGGCGTTTTTTTTTGGGGGGGGGGCAGGGATTGTGCATTATATTTTAATTGTTCATATTTTACTACTATTTCCACTTTTCTTCGATAAATGCTTACTTTGATGGGCTTTTTATACCCAGCGAGACCCATACTCGTTACCAAGCAAGGATCAAACTAAAATGTTGGCACTTCCTTAGAAACGATAGTGGAAAGAGACGGGGAAGATCTCAAACCAGAAAAAAATGTTTTGAAAAAAATCTCAAATTGAAAACTTTTTAACTTGCACTGTCAGCTTTAAGGTTGCTGTTACTAAAAATAGACTTTGGGGTTGGGATATGGTTAGGCACATAGCATGGCCCTTGCTGACTTGTCAGCATTCTAGTTATGACTACAATGAATAATAGCCAGGTCATAATATAAATATAATTTATCAGACAATTGAATTAAGACAGGTTTTGTCAAGTTATAAAGAAAACTAGACAATTTTCATCCATCTCAGTTTGAATAAATTTTAATTCCATTATCAAGAATATATAAAAATGCTCTTGGAAACATGATTTCTCTGGCAATCAGCAAGACTCCTATGTTAGCATCTCTACTTCATGTCCATTACTTTTTGTGTCACCATCTTGTTTTCAATTTTCTCAATGTCACCAGACTTGTTCGCCCGTTGTCTGAATAATGTGACCGGGTAGGGTGTCGTGCAGGGTGTCTTCGGCAGTATGTTTCAGTGAGGTAGCACTATAAAGTCGGCATCAGTTCTGCACTCTACAAGGAGACAAACACAAACATATCGCAGCCTCCCAATGCACACACCCATACACTACACACATGCATCTTGCACACAGGGGAGGCCGTCCTTAAATGATCATAGCTGTTGATAGGACTTTAAACAATAATAAACCAAATCAAACCAAACCAATCAATGTCACCATCTTGACTTTATGTTTGTCGCTCCAATGTCGTCCACTCAATTGCTCCAATGTCGCCAACACTACTTAATGTCAATTGGTCCAATGTTGCCATCTCTGCTTTATGTCAATTGCTCCAGTGTCACCAACACTACTTAATGTCAATTGGTCCAATGTTGCCATCTCTACTTTATGTCAATTGCTCTAGTGTCGCCAACACTACTTAATGCCAATTGGTCCAATGTTGCCATCTCTACTTTATGTCAATTGGTCCAGTGTCGCCAACACTACTTAATGTCATTTGGTCCAATGTTGCCATCTCTACTTTATGTCTGTTGTTCTTTGTTGCCATGCAGACTTTGCTCTAAAAGATAATCCTATTGACTTTATGTGCTTCGCCTCCAGTGACACGTTACAATGCCATAAGATAATGTCCGTTTTCTTAAGTTGATGTTAGGATAAATGATATAGTACATGTGACCAAAAAAGTCTGGCAGTGCTGTATTCACTGCTCAGTATTATAGTTATGTGAAAGGTTTTGTTGTATGTGACAAAGGTTTTCATTTTGTAATATATCAAAATATTAGTCTATTTAACCCTTTCGCCCTGATGTAACTTTAGTAGACTCTACCATACATTGATATGGATGAGTCCACTATGGTCTGCAGTGGTGAGAGGGTTAATACCGTTGGTTAACTAGTGATGAGGTATCTCCTTTTGTCCTCAGATGCCGGAAATGAACAGTGAATCTGAGAATGAGGAAACCAAGAGGCTGGTCGGAACCACTCGGATTTTTCTTCTCCAGAACGGAGGCATGCTCCTCGGATTCACAATCATACTCTTAATGACTTTATATGGCGGACAGATTAATTTTGGAGAATAAAGAAACAGGATTTACAGACTTCAAGAATCTACAACTAAGGACACAAGATCCATTGATTAAATACAAGAATTCTGAACTACAGGAACAACATTTACTTGCTAGTTTAAAACAAGTAGCCTAAGGTGAAGTAACAAAGTTAAAAAGCTAATTTGATTACAGCTTTTAGTGTCCTGAATCCTGAACTATAGAAACAAAATTCACTGGCTAGTAAAATGTAATAATCTCAAACTATAGAAACAATATTCAGTGGCTAGTAAAATGTAATAATCTCAAACTATAGAAACAATATTCACTGGCTAGTAAAATGTAATAATCTCAAACTAAAGAAACAATTGTTCAATGGCTAATTCATATCTAGTTTTCCGGAATTGATTGAATAGGATTTCGTGGCTACAATAATCTCAAGCAAAAGGAACAAAATTCACTGGCTAATAAAAAGTGATTCCTTGACTTGTAAATACATTGTATCCTGATTTTAAGAAAGAAGATTCACTTTTTCATTTAATATAAATATCTCAAACAAAAGACACGAGGTTCACTACATGTAGCTAGTTTAAAAAATAAAAAATAAAAATAAAACAGAAATGAGAAACACGAGCTAAATATGAGTATACTGAACGTGTAAAAAGCAAGATTCTCTGGCTAATTAAATACAAGATTCTCTGGCTAATTAAATACAAGATTCTCTGGCTAATTAAGTGCATGTATCCAGATCTGAAGAACAAGAATCACTAGCTTAGTACAAATATGAAAAGTTAAAATTATTCACTGGTTAATTAAATACAGGTATCCTCAACTAAATGATGATGATTTACTAACTAGTTAGAATATATGTATCCAGGACACTGCTTAACAAAATTATGTTATTGTGCAACTGTGAATTCAATCTTTTGATTTTCCAAGTATATTTCAACTGATTTGTGTGATAATGGTCACTTTCAATCAAATGTCGATAATTTTAAATTTTGCTTTCAGTTTTGAGCTTAACTTCACCCCTATGTAAATTTAGTAGACTCTACCATGCATTGATATTGATGAGTCAATTATGGTCTACAGTGGTGAAAGAAAATGGATGAAAACAGGCCATTATGTAATGCATTGTTTGGATCATCTAGCTTTTTGCACAAGTTAATTAATAGTAATATACATATCATTGATGGGATGTGCTTGGTACAGAGGGGTGTCCAAGAGACAAATGTCCGCAACAAATGCTGCACGTTTTTGAGGTCATGTGGTGTGTAAGGGTTGCATATACATGTATATATTTCCGGTGTGGAGGTAAATTAGTAATATTTACATTTGCTCTACATTGCCCCTATATAACACTACCAAAGCCAGTTCCGTGTTATGAGACTATATATAACACTGGCATAGTGATATGTCACGAGACGACATTTCGCTAGCAATTCCATGGGCTGTTCTACCTCTTGAACAAACACTGCAAAATTCAAACATAAATGTACAGTATAAACTTAGAAATGAAAATTTAAAAATGAAAATGTAAATATAAGCATAAACAGCATTCTGTTCCATGTTATGGTCCTATAACACGGAACAGGACTGTTGGCAAATAATCATAATACGCGTTAGGAACAGAATGTTGTTTAATGCTCAAGTAAGCCAATTTTATGAAAGGTGATAGATAGTTTTGGACAGATATGGCTGAAATATCCTATGTTAATGGATTGAATACCAACTATATCCTCTTGTCAAACATGCAGATGGACAATGCACATGTTTTCGGCATTTTTCTTAGACAGCTGCTGTCAATTTTTGTGTGTTTAGCTAATGTAAACCTGCCTCCCTATCACATAACAAGCATATCTGAAACTGGAGAGAATAAGAATCTCAAAAACGGTATCTGCCATTGTTATTATGTATTGTGTTTTGTTACAATGCAAGATGGTTACCAGTATTGCCTGGTACTTGAAATACAAGTTAAAGATATTTTAATGAAAATATGATGCTGGTAAACCTTTTGCTTGAATGTCTTGAAATACATGTAAACCTTTTCATGTGAAATTAATATATGAAAAAAAACTGTACATAGGAAGATTCTATTGTGGGTAAATTTGTATGGTCCTGTTTTACTTTTTTGTGTGTATGTATCATGGTTTTTTTATATGTTCATCATATACTTTGAAATTTACGTTTCCACTGCTTTATAATTTTGCAGATTTTTACAAAGATAGTGATAAGCGGGATTATTTTGTTAGTGTTTTTTGTTGTTTGTTTTTATCTGTTATGTGACAAGTGCCCAAACCAATTCTCAAAAGTGACAAATCTTCTTACTGGATGTACTTTTCACAGGAATATTTTCGGAGGAAAAATAATCTCTTTTAAAGTAAAACCGAAACCTGGTTTACAGTAGATTATTGAGTGATAGAAAATCATGTCACGTTGCTTTGGAAGGGAACAATTTAAGAATGTTGCACCCCGGACAAAACTGCCATTCGTTCATTGGCCAAGAAGGGTCACATTTTGTCAATGTTTGTTTGAAACCAAGTGGGTAGGTGTTTGAGTGGTTTTACATCTACTTCACTACTCAGTCGTTAGGTGTTTTTTTAGCGTACGCATCACAGACATTAAGAAATTTCTAGAGCCCTCAATTTAAAATCTCGATTATATAACGTTATGGGTAGAGAAATAATCATCCAATATGGTACCAATTTTGACGAGAATGATCAAATGAAGTATGTTTTTAAATAAAGTTGAGTTCACAAGAAAGTCTTTGAACTGTTCCACAATCCAGCCTCATCCCCGTCATTCTACTCACCCCGTTATTCTACCCGTAATTCTACTCACCCCATTACTACATGACTATTACAACATCACACATTAATAGGACCAAAATGTTATGATTTTTATGTGTTTTTTTTTTAAAACCTATTGCATTTCTCTACTATTGCATTTCTCTCTACACCTATGATATGTATTTACATGTGAACAATGCAAATGAATGTTTTTTTGTATGAGGATTATATGCAAAAGTCTTTTTTTTCATGGTTTTATTTTGACTTCATTGATCGATGGTAGCTTATGACAGAAATAATCAAATATTAGTCATCTTGAATGTTTTATGGAATGTTATTGCTAGCTTGATTTGATGGATTGTGACCATTTTATAGCTGTGGCTACTATATACCTCAAAATTTTCTCCGCAGATTAATTTTTCGACTTTTTCACCTGCTGTAATGAGGGCAAATTTATCATTACCGGGAACACTAGTAAACAACATAGTATGTATAGTACTTCAATGTGAAGGTAAACAACATATTATGTATAGTGCTTCAATGTGAAGGTAAACAACATGTTATGTATAGTGCTTCAATGTGAAGGTAAACAACATAATATGTATAGTACTTCATTGTGAAGGTAAACAACATATTATGTATAGTGCTTCGATGTGAAGGTAAACAACATAATATGTATAGTACTTCAATGTGAAGGTAAACAACATATTATGTATAGTACTTCAATGTGAAGGTAAACAACATAATATGTATAGTACTTTAATGTGAAGGTAAACAACATATTATGTATAGTACTTCAGTGTGAAGGTAAACAACATAATATGTATAGTACTTCAGTGTGAAGGTAAACAACATAGTATGTATAGTACTTCAATGTGAAGGTAAACAACATAATATGTATAGTACTTTAATGTGAAGGTAAACAACATATTATGTATAGTACTTCAGTGTGAAGGTAAACAACATATTATGTATAGTACTTCAGTGTGAAAGTAAACAACATAATATTTATAGTACTTCAGTGTGAAGGTAAACAACATATTATGTATAGTACTTCAATGTGAAAGTAAACAACATAATATGTATAGTACTTCAATGTGAAGGCGAAATTAACACTTGGGGAATATGGATTATTCTGGCAAAGGGCCGAAGTTTTATTGGGCTAAAGTTACTGGTATACAGTAATTATTTCGCCTGTTTTAAGTTGTGTATCTGGACCGTAAGTGTCACAACCTCCTAACATTAGAGGTACAACTATTAATGAAGTCTGGTTTTTCCTAATGTGTGTAGACAGATTGTTTCCATGTGAGACTCGACATTTATAATATGAGATATGCTTGTGAGTTTGAAAACAAAAATCTAGTGGTTATTGTGCTCCCTGTGTTGATGGATGTGTCCTTCTGGTCATGCCACAGGAACAATGGGATACATTCAAAAGTGTGAAGTGTTGAGGTCTTGCTGTGGTATATATTTCAGTCAGTCCTGTGTCCAAAACACATCAGCCATATAGTTTATCACAGGAATAATGGGATACATTCAAAAGTGTGAAGTGTTGAGGTGTTGCTGGGGTATATATTTCAGTCAGTCCTGTGTCCAAAACACATCAGCCATATAGTATATCACAGGGACAATGGGGTATATATTTCAGTCAGTCCTGTGTCCAAAACACATCAGACATATAGTATATCACAGGGACAATGGGGTACATTCAACAGTGTGAAGTGTTGAGGTCTTGCTGGGGAACATATTTCAGTCAGTCCTGTGTCCAAAACAAATCAGACATATAGTATATCACAAGGACAATGGGGTATATATTTCAGTCAGTCCTGTGTCCAAAACACATCAGCCATATAGTATATCACAGGAACAATGGGATACATTCAAAAGTGTGAAGTGTTGAGGTGTTGCTGGGGTATATATTTCAGTCAGTCCTGTGTCCAAAACACATCAGACATATAGTATATCACAGGAACAATGGGATACATTCAAAAGTGTGAAGTGTTGAGGTGTTGCTGGGGTATATATTTCAGTCAGTCCTGTGTCCAAAACACATCAGCCATATAGTATATCACAGGAACAATGGGATACATTCAAAAGTGTGAAGTGTTGAGGTGTTGCTGGGGTATATATTTCAGTCAGTCCTGTGTCCAAAACACATCAGACATATAGTATATCACAGGAACAATGGGATACATTCAAAAGTGTGAAGTGTTGAGGTGTTGCTGGGGTATATATTTCAGTCAGTCCTGTGTCCAAAACACATCAGCCATATAGTATATCACAGGAACAATGGGATACATTCAAAAGTGTGAAGTGTTGAGGTGTTGCTGGGGTATATATTTCAGTCAGTCCTGTGTCCAAAACACATCAGACATATAGTATATCACAGGAACAATGGGGTACATTCAAAAGTGTGAAGTGTTGAGGTGTTGCTGGGGTATATATTTCAGTCAGTCCTGTGTCCAAAACACATCAGCCATATAGTATATCACAGGAACAATGGGATACATTCAAAAGTGTGAAGTGTTGAGGTGTTGCTGGGGTAT